TTCAGCAGAAGACCTTGTGGTCTAGTGGCCAAAACAATCGTCTTCCAAGTGTTAAATCGATGGTTCGAATCCTACGATAACAGTTTTTTATTATGAACTTCTTGAAAACGATAAAGTAGATAAAATAAACATAGCCGTTCTCCCGAAGAACTTGTGGTCTAGTGACTAAGAAAATTTTCTCCCAAGTGTTAAATCGATGTTTCGGATCCTGCCAAAACCATTTTTTATTATGAACTTCGTGAAAGGATAAAGTAAAATAAATAACCATGGTCATCCAGCACAAGACCTTGCGGTCTAGTGGTGAAGACGATGGTCTCCCAAGTGTTAAATCGATGGGACGAATCCTACCATAACCGTTTTTCATTATGAACTTCGTGAAAAGGATAAAGTAAATTAAATAACCATAACCGTGCAGCACAAGACCTTGTGGCCTAGTGGCGAGGACAATGGTCTCCCAAGTGTTAAATCGATGTTTCGAATCCTGCCAAAAGCTTTCTTTTTTTTATTATGAACTTCGTAAAAAGAGAAAGTAAACTAAATAACCATGGCCATCCAGCAAAAGACCTTGTAGTCGAGTGGCGAGGAGGATGGTCTCCCAAGTGGTAAATCGATGGTTCGAATCCTACCATAACTGTTTTTCATTATGAACTTCGTGAAAGGAATAAAGTAAATTAAATAACCATGGCTGTTCAGCACAAGATCTTGCATTCTAGTGGCTAAGTCAATTGTCTCCCAAGTGTTAAATCGATGATTCGAATCCTACCATAACCTTTTTCATTATGAACTTCGTGAAAAGGATAAAGCAAATTAAATAACCATAACCGCTCAGCAAAAGATCTTGCAGCCTACTGGCGAAGACAATCGTCTCGCAAGTAGTAAATCGATGGTTAGAATCCTGCCATGTCTTTTTCATTATGAACTTCGTGAAAAGAATAAAACAAATTAAATAACCATCGCCATTCAGCACAAGACCTTGCAGTCTAATGGCTAATACAACTGTCTTTTAAGTGGTAAATCGATGTTTCGAATCCTGCCAAAACCATTTTTTATTATGAACTTCGTAAAAGGGTAAAGTAAACTAAATTACCATGGCCGTCAAGTACAAGACCTTGTGGTCTAGTGGCGAAGACGATGGTCTCCCAAGTGTTAAATAAATAGCTCGAATCCTACCATAACCGTTTTCATTATGAACTTCGTGAAAAGGATAAATAAATTAAATAACCATAACCGTTCAGCACAAGACCTTGCAGTCTAATGGTTAAGACAACTGTCTCTTAAGTGGTAAATCGATGTTTCGAATCCTGCTAAAACTATTTTTATTATGAACTTCGTGAAAGGATAAAGTAGACTAAATAACCATGGTCATCCAGCACAAGACCTTGCGGTCTAGAGGCGAAGACGATGGTCTCCCAAGTGTTAAATCGATGGTTCGAATCCTACCTTAACCGTTTTCATTATGAACTTCGTTAAAAGGATAAAATAAATTAAATGATCATTACCGTTCAGAACAAGATCTTGCTGTCTAGTGGCGAGGGAGATGGTCTCCCAAGTGGTAAATCGATGGTTCGAATCCTACCATAACCCTTTTTCATTATGAACTTCGTTAAAACAGTAAAGTAGATCAAATAAACATAGCCGATCACCAAAAGAACTTGTGGTCAAGTGGCTAAGACAATTTTCTCCCAAGTGTTAAATCGATGTTTCGAATCCTGCCAAAACTATTTTTTATTATGAACTTCGTGAAAGGATAAGGTAGACTAAATAACCAGGGTCATTCAGCACAAGACCTTGCGGTCTAGTGGCGAAGACGATGGTCTCCCAAGTGTTAAGTCGATGGGTCGAATCCTGCCAAAAGCTTTTTTTATTATGAACTTCGTAAAAGGATAAAGAAAACTAAATAACCAAGGCCATCCAGCATAAGACCTTGTAGTCGAGTGGCGAGGAGGATGGTCTCCCAAGTGGTAAATCGATGGTGCGAATCCTACCATAACCGTTTTTCATTATGAACTTCGTGAAAAGGATAAAGTAAATTAAATAACCATAACCGTTCAGCACAAGACCTTGTGGTCTAGTGGTGAAAACAATGGTCTCCGATGTGTTAAATCGATGGTTCGAATTCTACCACAACCGTTTTTCATTATGAACTTTGTGAAAAGGATAAAGTAAATTAAATGACTATGGGCGTTCAGCTCCAGATCTTGTAGTCTATGTGATATATATATTGAATATTTAATTAGGCTGTAAGGTATAAATATGCATGCGTAATTAGCAGGGTTGTTGGCTTGCTGGATGATGCTGTAACATAGAATAAAACAGAGAATAAAACATTTTATGAAGATTAGATCAATCTGTATCAATCCGTATCAGAGACAAGGCAAATAAACTACAATTGGGCTCACTGAGGAGAAAGTCAGGGCTGTGGTGAATGCTACGGAGCCGAAAACAGCCTCTGAAGTTCGAAGTTTTATTGGCCTGGTAAATTTCTGTAGTCTGTTCATTCCAGATTTAGCTATAACGGCTGAACCCCTGCGGAAGTTAACCAGGACAACTACACCTTTTGTTTGTGGAAATGAACAGAATAAGGTGTTTCAAGAGCTTAAGAATACGATGTCTACCGCTGATTCATTGGCTTTTTTTGATAAAGATGCAGAAACATCGATAATCTCAGATGCTAGTCCTGTTGGTCTTGGTGCAGTGCTTGTGCAAAAGCAACAAAATGTAATGAAGGTTGTGGCATATGCTTGTAGATTTCTTTCTGACATGGAAAGGCGGTATTCTCAGACGCAGAAAGAAGCATTAAGTATAGTATGGGCTTGTGAGCGTTTTCATGTGTATTTGTTCGGGATTCACTTTGAGGTTTTGACAGACCATAAACCATTAGAAGTGATTTATTCCAAAACCCATAGGCCCTCTGCAGAGTCGAAACGTGGGTTCTGAGATTGCAGAATTATGATTTTACTGTTAAGTATCTTCCGGGTCCAGAAAACATCGCGGACACGTTGTCTCGGAAACAGTTGTTGAAGAAATCGAGTCCAGCGGTCGTGACTTTGAAGTTTCGCGTCAAAACGGATAGCTATCGCCTAAACCAAGAAGGCAGTGTTGGCCTCCTAAACGTTTTGGTGATTATTTACTATATAAGTAATTCGTAGTACTTTATGATACCTTATAGTACTATAATATAATATATATATATATATATATATATATATATATATATATATATATATATATATATATATATATAATATATATATATATATATATATATATATATATATATATATATATTGAAGTTTTAGAAACAGTAGAATTAAGCGAACATTATCATGTATACAAAGTGCGAAAACCTATGGAAAAATCATTTAAAATCTGTTTCTAAAAAGTGTTTGCAACATTTCTTCCATAGCATGTTACTAGCCCTATTGGTGCCACTGGGTTATATGTAAATGTTAAATGATACTGATTTAATGAATATTTAAACAGTAAACATATACTCTATAGATATGTAAATATATAATCTAGTACAATGTAATTAAAAAAAACAACTTATCTCCAATATTAAACATCACAACGAGTAAATCCTCTTGGCATAAATTTTAAGTTCCAAAAACAACAATGGTATGTGCAGTTGCAAGCAAACTGCGTGTTTGCACCGACTATAACCATCATGTGAATGATTGTACAGTATAATATAAAACAAAATATTTACGAAGGAAATAAGAAATTTATGTAATGTGATTTTATAAATAGACTATTAAGGCAAGGTGTTCCCCCAAGGGGATACGCCTTGTCGACGATGATTAAAAATCTTATATTATGGGCTTTGCGTCTTATCTAAAAGACCGACAGGTAATGGATGGCACGCAATATGGGAAAGGTGGTCAATGGCCAGCAGCAAATCGAAAACTAACAAAGACCGAATACCCAAACCATAAACGGTCAGTTTAAGCGTGACATCGCGAAAGACAGATCTCCTTTAAAGTTGAAAGGTATTTACAGAAGTGTTCTACTTGTTTTTCTATATATTTATATATTGATATACATACAGATAGTAGCTACGAATACACAATGGTACCCCCAAAAGTTTTGGTCCTGGGACACTCATTTGTTCGTCGCCTACAGTGCGACCTGAAACATAAACGGGATATTCGCATGTGCCCAACCTTTAAACTCAAGGGCACAGCGAGAGTTTCTCTACACGGTATAGGGGGTAGAACAGTGAAGAAGATTCGCAAATTTGATTTAGGCGTAGTTTCTCGGTGTGCCCCAGATATTGTTATTCTGGAGATAGGCACGAACGATTTGTCCTCCTTAAGGCCCGAAACAGTCGGGTCACGCATTGACGACTTGGTTGCTTTATTGCTGGATCAATATCACGTAAAATTGGTATGCGCATGCATGATTTCCCCGCGAAAGAACAACCCTCTTTTTGAAAAGCAGCGTTTAATGCTGAACAATTATCTACAGGTAGTTTTAGAGAAGGTCCCGAGAGTGTTTTTATGGACACACCATGGCTTTATACGACCTTCCGTGACGCCATTTCTACCTGACGGGGTCCATTTTAATCGAATCGGGCAATATAAATTATACCGAAGTTATCGGGGGGCCATTCTTCAAGCAATTAAAATGTTATAAAATTCTCTATCTAGATATATATATATATATCTTTTGTAATTGATTATCCGAATTCGGATAAGAAAGGTAGAATACTATCAATCTATGTGGCTTTAAGGTTGTTCTATAAAATGGAATCCCTTAGGTAGGGTTTCCAATAGCAAGTAAAGTTATAGTAGCAGTCTGTAATATAGCAGTATATTGTAGTATAGTAGCAGTCTGTATGGAGGGAGCGACTTCTGCATGAGCAGCACACTTCTTCCTCGTTGTGAAAATAATCGTTGAAAGTAAAAAATGAGTTGATATTAAATAAATTTTTGCTAAGAAATTTCTCGTTCTCTTGGTATATTAAATGAAATTAATGTGAATATTATAAATTTTCGTTAATAGTGAGAGTGAAATAGTGCAAAGAGTGCGAAACAGAGGATTGTGCAAAAAAGTCTACATTCATGGTAAGTGAATAAAATACATGTAAAAGTCTAAATTGTATATAAACAATAAATTAAGGTAAATGAAATGTGTCTAAGAATCTTTCTATCAAGATTACCGTGTGCAATATTGTCAGTGAATTTCCTGTTACTTATGATGCAATGGAAATAGAGAAAGGGCCCGAGGGGAACGAGGAAGGGCAGAGAAAACAAATACAAATTTAACACATATTACAAATGATGCTGTTAAGAATATGAGATTACAATTAAATTGTTAAGCATAAAAACTATATATACATAAATATATATTTATAAAGGTTCTAATTAAAGATAAATAGATTACAAATGGAGATTACAAAATTAAGGTAATTTAAGAGAGTAAATCTATGAGGTTTACAAATTTATAATTGCAGGAATAATTATTCAGTGACATTTCTAGGTAGACCATTTAAAAAACACCATTCCTGCTTGTATAAATCAAAATAAAACCACTTGTGTTGATTATTATAAAGATTATTAAAAATAAAATCGAGTTGTCTTGCTCTTTTTTCAGCTTTCCTTTGATTTGACCAGAGCTGTGAACTTAAAATCCATTCTGCTGAATAGTCTGGGGATGCTCCATTTCCAAGTAAAAACAAAAAGAGTTTGAAGGTAGAAGTGTCGTCGATGGGTTTCTTCCAAAAGGTTAGTTTGATGTCGTTAGGCCAGAGTAAAAGAGAATAGAAAATATCCCCATTGAACAGACAAAAAAGGTTATTGCGTAGAGTGATTATATCATGTTTAGGTTTATGCTTGAACGATGTATGGTATAGTTGAAGGTAACGGTTATGAGACATTATAATAACAATAGGATCTATATTGAATAAATATTGAGTAAATTACTTAAAGGATGAATAAAAGAAAATAAGAAACGGTGAGAGAAAGAGAGAGAGAGGGGTAAATGGATGCGCAAAACCCGGGTGCTCAATATGAATGAAATAACCAAAGCCAAAGTAATTGCGGAAGCTTGAGCTACTATGGCCTTGCCCAAAATTGTTTCTAAAGAAACAATGTCATGATATCTTCAGGTTCCAAGCATGACTGGGAGGCGTGTTTCTAACCCACCGGCGGGTCTTGGAACGACACGCCCGTTAAAAGTATACGAACAGCAGAGGATGAAAAGAGTTTACTGTTAATAAACAGAAGTCGCACTAAATCGACGGTAGGATGTATAGGATGAAGGTATATATGAATGAACCGTTATAACGGATATTATGACGAATTTCGACAACAACCTTTATGGAAAAACCCTAAAGTATATTAAAATTATCTAAATGTCCTATTCGCGTACAAATTAAGCCTACAACCCGCATAAAAACCGTCGACTTGTATTGTACGAATACGGAGAAATATGTAAACAAATAAACCGGATGTTACGCAAAATTACCGGAAGTTGTAAAAAACCTGGAAAAATTACATCTGAACATGTAATAAATTACAATGAGACACAAAACCTAATGAAATTTTAAACGAATATGGAAAATTCAGAGGACTTACGTGAGAAAAACTTTGAGGAGCTTGATTCTTAAAACAAATTTTCGCGCTCTTAAATAATCACAAAGATCCTTGTTGTCATGGTAACTATTCGTGATATCGCGAGAGCAATTTTGAAATCTAAACCGTAAGGGCTAGTGTTTACTGATATATTGGAGAACTATAGAGGGAGAAAATATGAAATCGGAGGATTAAAATCGACGATCGTGGTGAAAGTGAATGGAAATTATATCGATAAAAGGTATGAAAAGCAAATTAAGAATGAAATATAATCAGCGATTGAGAAATATCGAAGTTATTGTAATGGAATGTGACCACGTGAAAAAACATTGGATCATAGCTATAAAATCTTTATAGTCAAAAAATTATTTAAAATTTATAAAACATTGCATCAATTGGAGAAATTGAATGTAAAGTCTACATAGGATGCAGTTAAATCTCATTTAACATCGAGTAAGGCCTAACATTTGAATGCATGCTAAATATTATATACAGATTTACATGCATATGCAATTTAAATACATCATTACTCATAGCATAAGATCAAATTATTTACAAAGATTCAACTGGTAAATTATATAATATTCTACCTATGAAGAAAACCTTTTATATAAGTTTATTGTGTAATTTCCTGTTAGTTAATAGAAAATAATAGAGCTTGTTAGAGTTACAATATACTTTGGAAACTTATGAATATGAGGATTGTGATATTTGTTGAGAATGTGTTTAACAATTTTATCCGTTCTTGCATGCTTGTTAAATTTAGATTTGTAAAACAGAGAAGAAATTATAGGCTTTCTTCTTTTTCTTCTTTCGGGTTTGTTTTTCAACTGTTTATGGAATACATAGTTGCGATAGGGATAGGTATTTTGTTTGATTAATAAGGATGGGTATCCAAGGGATTTCAGACGTAGGGAAAATAGTTTACATATAAAGTTGTAGTCTTGCAGGGTGGATGAGAGTCTGCTGTATCGGATGGTTTCCGTCTTGATGATGCCAGTGAAAATGTGTTGAGGGTGGTTGGATGAAAAATGTGGGTACATATATTTCTGATTCGGTTTTTGAAAGACTTGGTAATGAATTTTACCGTGTAGTATGGTGTAATGATTTAAGGAGATGGTAAGATCTAGGTAATTAACAGAAAGTTGATTGGAATTGAATGTTATAGGAATTTGGCTAGGATAGAAGGAAACTAGTTTGTTAATTAAAGAATCTAACTGTGCATTGCGAGTAAGCATAAATCCATCATCGATATATCTAGAGAAAAGACAAAGAGTGTCTGTTTTGTGAGAAGAAAAGAAGTTGAGTTCGCTGAGTAGTAACACAATATCTGCAATTTGTCTGCTATGATAGCTCCCCATGGCAACTCCTTGAATTTGTCTGTAAATATTACGACCTACTGTGAAGTAATTACGGTTGTTAATAAAATTGTTAAGGTTGAGAAGATAGTCTCGATATAAGCGAGGAAGTTTCAATAACTTGCAACTAGAGATAATGGCATTAATGGTATCATGTAAAGTAATCTTAGTGTATAACGATGTGAAGTCAAAAGTGGTAAGTTGAAAATCTTGAATGTTAAAAATGTGATGATTTTGAAGTAAATCAATGAGATCGTTGGAATTAGAAATTAATGGGAAATGAAAGCCTTTGGAGATGAAGAGGTTCTTAAGTTGCAATACAATGGAATCGAGTTCTGTGCCGAGTAATCTTGATACGTTAGAGGTGGACCAGGAGTGAGCAGTGATGATAGGTCGGCCGGTTAATTTGGTTAAGTTGCTGGGTGAGGCTGTATCTGTTAGCTTGTGTATTTTCGGCAGGAGCTTCATAAAGGGTATCTGGACTTGATCTGGTTGTAGAGGTTGAAGAAGGTTGCGGTTGTTGCAGGATAGAAAATTTGAAAAACGCTTTTGCATGTTGATAATAAAATTGTTACTCTCTATGATATGTTGTAGGATATTGAGATCTTTAATGGCTTCATATGTCTGACTATCTTGCAGTTGTCTTTCGTATTCTTTTAGATACCAGTGCGTAGGTAAAAGGGCCCAGCCCATGTTTTTATCAAATTGTGTAAAATTGATGTCTTTATTATTCTGTAGATCTTTGAAAAGTTTAAAAGAGGAGGATGAAATGTTACAGAGGTTTGTATGAATAATGCTGTTAAAATCAAAGGTATCAGTAAATTCTTTGGCATAATTAGCTGTGGAGTGAACATAATCGTAAGCGTAGTTATTGAAGTTAGGTTTGCCTTTTTCGTTTTCGACCAATCTAGTAGCATTCTCGTTCTTTGCATTATCTTTATTAAAGGAGGTTTTAGCTATGGTATTAGATGGTTTGAGTGGTTTTTCTGTGATGTTTGGAGCTTTAATAAGTTTGACAAGGGCGGCATTAGTTTCGGATATGACAGTGTTCTTCAATTCGGATTGTAATAGGTGTGAAGATGTTGGAATGAAGTTGGTACCTTTGTTGAGAATGTCGGTTAGATCTTTAGAGAGATTGATATCTGTGAAGTTATGGATTTTATGCGAATTTTTCAGGTTAATCTGTTCTCTGGCGATAGATGATTTACGATGCGATTCAATATCTTCTGATAGTATGTTAGCCAAATTAGAATTAGAAAGGGTCAATCTGTTGTGAAGGCAATGGATGAAGAGGTTAAGGTTGGATTTCAATCTGTAGATACGCTGTCTGAGGGTGTGTCCTTTATTGCTGCTGGCTATTTTGAGATTATTGCATCTGTTATTAGTGGTTTTAATGTGCTCATATTTGATGTTATAAATTCTTCGGTCGATATCTGAAATTTCTTCGTTAAGAGAGCTGATGGTATTGAGGATGTCGTCTGTATATGGGTGTTGAACTTTAGTTGAAGAGGTGGTGATCGAACCGGATGGACAAAATACTTCTTTGCTAACAGATTGTTGTAGATTTAAAATAATAGATTGATTCCTTTCGCGTTGACGGGATAGATTGTGAACAGAGAACAAACTTTTCTTTTGATGATGAGTGAGGTATTTGTTACAATTGATATTTCTTTTCCATGATTTGGTGGAATGGAAGTTAGGATGTGGGACTTTAGATTTCTTCTTATGTTGATTGATCTTACCTTCTTTAATTTTAGTGCGATATAGGATTCTTTTACGTTTATTTTTTGCTTGCTTTTTACTGAGATTGTTTGCATTAGATATCGAGGGATTACATGAGGAATTGTGGGTTAACTCTGTAGGTTTAGGATTGATAGATAAAAAAGGTGACGTATATGACAAATGTGTTGTAGAGTTATGCTCCTGGGACACTCATTTGTTCGTCGCCTACAGTGCGACCTGAAACATAAACGGGATATTCGCATGTGCCCAACCTTTAAACTCAAGGGCACAGCGAGAGTTTCTCTACACGGTATAGGGGGTAGAACAGTGAAAAAGATTCGCAAATTTGATTTAGGCGTAGTTTCTCGGTGTGCCCCAGATATTGTTATTCTGGAGATAGGCACGAACGATTTGTCCTCCTTAAGGCCCGAAACAGTCGGGTCACGCATTGACGACTTGGTTGCTTTATTGCTGGATCAATATCACGTAAAATTGGTATGCATGATTTCCCCGCGAAAGAACAACCCTCTTTTTGAAAAGCAGCGTTTAATGCTGAACAATTATCTACAGGTAGTTTTAGAGAAGGTCCCGAGAGTGTTTTTATGGACACACCATGGCTTTATACGACCTTCCGTGACGCCATTTCTACCTGACGGGGTCCATTTTAATCGAGTCGGGCAATATAAATTATACCGAAGTTATCGGGGGGCCATTCTTCAAGCAATTAAAATGTTATAAAATTCTCTATCTATATATAAATATATATATATATATATATATATATATATATATATAACAAGCTGTTGTACATTACATTTATTTTTATAATATAACCTTGACATTTGACAAACTTTACTCGTGATTACTTCTTAAATACCGCTTTAGCGCCTTTATCTATTATATCTTTATCTTTTATCTATATGAGAGTTCTCACACTGTTTGTGAGTTTTGTTGGCCATATGATAAACGGTGCGGCGATCTTCTGATCTGCCATGTTCATCCTGCTGACGTTTGATTTTGTCTTTATCTCTCATCTATATGAGAGGTCTCACACTTTTTGTGAGTTTTTTGTTGGCCATAGGGTGAATGGTGCGGCGATCTTCGGATCTGCCATGTTCATCCTGCTGACGTTTGATTTTGTCTTTATCTCTCATCTGTATGAGAGTTCTCACACTTTTTGTGAGTTTTGTTGGCCACAGGGTGAACGGTGCGGCGGTCTTCGGATCTGCCATGTTCATCCTGCTGACGTTTGATTTTCTAATCATTCTTTCACAAGTTCCAATTTTCAATTACGACAAATAACGGACGAATCCTCACTATTGAATGTTCGCCATTACGGGGGATAGTTTTATTTCTCGCACAACGACAAAATTTGGGTGCGGTTGCTTTACTATCTAAAAACGCAATTACGCCATAAGTATCTATTTCTGCTTTTAAAGTTTTATTTCTTAGAATGCCACCCGTACGTCGTTCTAAGCGTGTCGCCGCTCCATCAGCCGTTTTTGCGAGAGTCTGTTCAGAACCAACCAACAACATCTCGTCGAACTCGAAGTTCGTCCAATGCTGTATCTGTTGGTGCCGCCCCGTCAACGTCAACTGTGCCCGTGAGTCAAGTGACTTTGCCCTCTCTTTCGAGTGAGCTTATCTCAACGCTGGTGTCTTCGGTTACCGAGGCAGTCACGCAAAAGCTAGCTGGTTTCTTACCAACCTCTGCGTCTTCCACATCCACAATGAAGTCTGCCCCAACGGATTCTACCTCCGGTATCGAAATCTCAAACCAGGGTCCCAATGCAGATTCTCTGGTCAACGACGCGCTCACGTCTATACAAGAAAACCTTACAGGTCAGACCACTCCTTTTTCTCTTCAATGTTCAAGTGCCTCGGGTCCATGGGAATCGTTCCACTCTGCCGTTTTGCCTCTTGATTCGCGGATTCCGGATAAAATAAAGCTTAAAATATGGAATGAGGAGTTTGTCGATATAAGTACTTTGTCAGGTGGCCCAGACGCGGCCGCTAATTACGAGATTAGTGTACGTTCCTCTGACAACGGTAAACCTGCTTCTCTTCTCCTTGAGCCGACTGCGAAATCCAAAAGGGTCAAAACTATTAGCGATTGGCTTCGTTCGTTTCATATTTTTGTTTCCATTTATACACAACGGTACCCCCATGAGTCCCCCGCGCTCATGAAATATTGTCAAATCATCCAGGATTTGGCCAATAGGGGTCATAATTGGTTTTACTACGATGAGAATTTTCGATTTTTGCGCTAAACACAGGCCACGCGCGTTCCCTGGGCGACTGTTCACTGGGAGTTATGGTTGAAATGTCAATATCCCACTACTTCTAAGCCAAACACGCAAGGCAGCAATCATACGCGCCACCCTTCAAAAGTGTCTGTTCCTCGGGGATATTGTTTTAAGTTTCATCGCGGAACGTTTTGTGCCGGTTGTGATTTCAAGCACATTTGTTTTAAATGCAACGGATCGCACCGTGCCGTGAATTGTAATTTTCATCTCCCACTGATCGATCGCCTAGGCCTATTTCAA